TATAGTATATATGGGCAATTCAAATCTTTCTGGGTACTCTCTGAAATTTCTCTGTGATGAAAATATGCCTACAACAATTTTTTTGCACTAATTTCCTATTAGTATAACTTGTACAGGGAAAGCCAGTCAGGTTCGCTTTTTTGTTGGTTGAATTCACCTTAATATCTTCTGGTAAAGTCCTTTTCTCCTTTTCAATTCATTCTAGTATATATGGGCAATTCAAATCTTTCTGGGTACTCTCTGAAATTTCTCTGTGATGAAAATATGCCTACAACAATTTTTTTGCACTAATTTCCTATTAGTATAACTTGTACAGGGAAAGCCAGTCAGGTTCGCTTTTTTGTTGGTTGAATTCACCTTAATATCTTCTGGTAAAGTCCTTTTCTCCTTTTCAATTCATTCAGTTATTTGTTTCAGCCATTCATTTTCTCTTTATTAACACCATCTTAAAGAAGTTTTAACTAATTTTCTGTACTCAGTATAATTTACTGGATCCTGAAAAAAAAAAAAAAAGCCTGAGCAAGGTAAACAGCAAACATGCATAGAGTGGAGGAAGAATACACCTTTAAAATTAAGTTTCTATAAAATTCAGGGGAATTTCAGAAAAACGCCTTTCTCTAAAAAATTGAAATATTTTCTTCTTTGAATTATTTTAAGGAGAAAATGGAACAAAATGAAACTGAAGGTGAGTGAGACTGCTTACAAATAAAATTTCAATTTAAATACAAGATCTGTTCAACTTAGTGAATATCAGAATTTCTGTAGCTGAAACTAGTTATTGACATAAAAATTAAATAGAAGAGAGCCAGATGTATGGTTTAGAGAAGAGGAAAAGAAAAGAAAAACAGATAGTGAAAATATAGATTTTTAAGCTTTTAAAAAATTAACATAAAATAAAGTTATTCTGGTTAAGACAGCAGCTAAAAAGTATTCACATTCTTGATATTAATGTACAGCAATAATATATGGATTAACTGAAAGAAAAAATGTGTACAGATCAAAATTTAGTGAATTTCAGATGAAATGGAAGTGTGGAATTGGGTGTGTATTTTTAGTTAGTATATAGCTTAAAGTTATTAATTCACTAACATAGGAAAGAGCTTACCTCACTGTGTAGCGGGAGGTATTAAAGAGGATCAATATGTAAGAAAAACATTATACAAGATAATTTCAAATAGTGATAATTTAAATTAAGTAGTGTAACAGTGAGTGGGAGGGTACTTTCAGGATGATCTCTGTGGTGGGTGACATCTGAACTAAAATTGTAAATGGTAGGAGAAGGAACTGAGGTAGAGACTTCAGGCGAGAAGTGAAGCAATCGAAAGGGCTTAAGAATGGGATATGCATAAAATAAGTAAAGTTGTCCATTTTGCTCCACCTGCGTGATTGACAGGGAAACAGTGTACTGAACCTATTTTACGTGACTCTCTAGAATTTTTTAGTCGTATTTTTCTGATCAGTGCTCCTAATATAAACATAGAAGAACATAGTTAACATTTATTACTAAAGTATAATTCTCCATTAGAAATGTTAAATGAAATCATAGTTAGGTCTTAAAGTGCATCCATTTTCAAACAACTCGTTTATCTTTTTTCAAGCTACAGATTTTGCTCTTCTATGATTTTGCTCTTATACACCTCAAAATATGTTCTAATTTCCCTTTTGATTTATGTTTATTCAACATGTTATTTAGAAGTACGTTTCTCCCTCCCTCTCTCTCTCTCTCTCTCTCCTGGTACTGAGAATTGAGCTCAAGACTTGCACTTGCCAGACATGTGTGGCACCACTGTACATTCATTTTTAATCCATTCTAAAACAAAAACAGCTGCATGATATTGTGTATAATTTTCAATATAAAATATATAGTGTCTAAGTGGTCTTTCCAATATTTTTCCAAATTTGATTGCACTACTGTGATTTTAATCTTTTTAAATTTGATGGGACATGTTTTATGTTAGGTCTACAATAGAAAAGAATGAAAATTCAGTAGATGTTATTTGAATTTCAGGTATACTTGCTCTATAGTATTATTTAATATCTACTGCAAGTACATCTAATGTCTTCTTGCTATATTTCTTATTGTTTTATCAGCTTCTGGAAAGAAATACTAAAAATTCTAACTACAGTTGTGAATTTGTCTTTTTTTCTTGCAGCTTTATCAGTTCCTTGCTTCATTTATTTTGAAGGTCTCTTGTTAAATGAATGTGCTTAGAACTTTTACTTCTTTGTAGAAACAGATCCCTTAATAATTTTGAAATAACTTTTCCATATCTTCTAATGTTACTTTTTCTGAAAATAACTAAAATGATTATTCCTGTTATGAACTTTATTTTAAATGCTTGCAGCATGTAATGATTACAGTCACCATATGGGACTGGTACATGGACATAACACATTTCAAAAACAGATACACATAGAAATTCTCTGATCATTAATGGAAGAGCTACTCAGGTAGTAAAGCTTGGTTCCAAGAGCATTTGAGGAATTGAACATTTGTAAGTGTTTTTATAAAGTTAGAATGAAAGATTGACTTTGTGCAAATTTTTAAAAGGTAACAAATTCCAAACAATACTATTTTACGATTTTACTTATTTTCATAAAAAACCATTTCAGTCACTTGTTTTGAGTTCAGTGTTAGTGCCATAAGCTTGGGTGACACAGGTCAATTATTGTGTTTTGTTTTCTCATCAATCACTTGGAAAGTTTGTCTAACATTTGCTACCGGAGTACGTATTTATCAACAATTTGAGAAAAAGTACGAAGAAACCCATTTTGGGAAGCTGAATGTTATTATATATTCTGGGTCTCTAGGATCTTTAGAAACTAGACAGCGTTTAACACCGTACAGGATAATGAATGGTGGTAGCCATAAGGAGTTGTAGAGATGATTTACATTTCTTGGCAAGAGCAAGTGTACAGAAAAGGAGCCTAGAAGCTATTAGCTACCATGACAGCACTGCATAGAGCAGATACCTAACTGTGGTGATTGTTTTTAAATGGTTCACCGTATGGTATGCAAAATAAACACTATCTTGTGTGTCCTTAACGTATTTTCTGGTACACTCTACATCTTTCCCGAGTACTAATGATGTATTTGTCTGGTAAATGGAACAGGGGTACCTTCCCGCTTTAAGGTTGATAAATGCAGACAGCAGCAGTTCCGCATGCTAGCGCAGTCATAAGGGGGCACAGGTAATTTTTATATCAATACTGCAGTATTATTTTCTTTCTGACAGTGTGCTTGTCTTTGAGTTCCTAAGCACTCTCACAAATACTCGTCCTTTATTTCGTGCACCAGAACCTCAGTCGCCGAAATTTCTATGCGGTGCTTCAGTCGGTGACCTGAAGACTTCGTTTTCTTATCGTTCTTAGCAACTGAGAAAAGAGAACAGATGAGCTGAAATGAAAAGAAAAATACTGATAAGCAATCTTTTCCCATGTTCCTCTTCCCTCACAGCTGAAAAAGGCCAACACGCTGTGCAGGCCCTCAATTGATAAAGAGTGCGACTTCGACGAGTTCTGCACTGGGAAGCAGGGCGACTGTGTGCCCGACACCTACGCCCGCGACGGCAGCCACTGTGACGCGGGGGGAGCCTTCTGCTTCGGCGGGATTTGTCGGACTTTTGACAGACAGTGTCAGTCCCTCATCGGAGGCGGTAATGACTACCATTTTCTTCTTACTTCCTAAAATGTGCTTCCTCCAGGCTACTATTTAATTCTACTCTAAAAATGCATAATGGCTGTATGCATCATGGGGAGTTGGTACAAGTAGATATTAACACATATTCATTCTTTTTACTTCTTCCCAATCCCTTAAGAAAAAAATAGAAACGTAACTGATTACTGACTAAGGTCTTGCCAGGTGTATATGAGAGTTAAAGGAAGTTGTACGTTTTTGATTCTGAAAAATAAAAAATTTCTGAGTTTACATGGAATTCTCATTTGCAAAATTCAGAAATCTCGAATAAAAACCCAGGTTTTTACCATATTAAACAGAGATTTAGTTTAGACTTAGAAGAAACATTTTTAAAAAAGTAAAGTAGGGCTGGTTACTGAGTATATGGGTCTCCAGGGGCTTGTTTATGGCTAAGGGCTTTACTCACCGAGTCCATCTATTTTTTTTTTTTTTGAGACAGGGTCTCTCTATTAGTTGAGACTGACCTGGAACTCGCTGTGTAGCCTAGGCTGGTCTTGAACTCACAGCGATCCGATCCTCCTGCCGCAGCCTCCCCAGTGCTGGGATTACAGGTGTGCACCACCACGCCTGGCCCCCAGGCCATCTCGATAGCTTCCTTTAAATGTGTGGACCGCTTGCTTTGTGGAAGTGTACAATTCCACACACCTTTCTCAGTCTTCCTTTCAAGTCTTTTTGTTTTTAAACCCAGCTCATAGGAGAGGCATCTAGGTATTGTGTAGATTGCTGAGACTCCCAGGAATTTAAGGAGGAGGTGAGATGGAGATTTTGGTCATTACTACAAGTTTGTTCTGCTTTGTCATCATAATGTTTATTTGTACTATCTGACAAGAAAATGGCTATGGGTTAGTATTTGAAACATAACTAAGATATAAACAAATGATCATTAAGGTAGGGAAGAATGGAAAATATACCAGATCTATGATGTAACGTTTCTCCAAGTAAAACCAGCCTACTGCTGGCTAGATAGCAGGTTATCAGTCAGGTGTGCTACGTGTTATGTATCTTACTTAGCAATGGTATCTCAAGGTTTCATAGCCCTCTGAGAGATGCAGGGTGTAGGTACAACAGCCTTCACCTCAAATAGCACTAATTTCTTTTTTAAGGCAAGCGTAATATCTAAACCACTGATTTCAAACTACCTCCTCAGCAACTCTAGTGATTCTGTGGGTTACTGGCATCTAGAACATGATAAATCAGTGTTTGTACTTCTTTGTGGAAGACAACCTCACCTTGCAAGCCTCTTGGGGAGTTTAAGGACCAAAGGAGACTGTTGAAAAATTTCCCCCAATTACAGTGTATTTCAATCTAAGTTAACCCATTTTGGATTGGGTCATCCATGGTCTGTCATGTCAACTAGAATGGTCCTTAGGTAGGATTTGATATAATTGTGAAGTAGGCATTTGCTTTGCAAGATAAAATCCACATACAACTTGTAGGTAATAGACAATAGAGGTAGTATACCACATATCTGATACGGGTTATTGTGTTTCATCAAACTGTTGATTTCTGGCACAAATATATGTATTGAGGTTTTAATATGCATATATTAAAAGACATATCTTATACAGCAAGCCATAGTCTCATAGAAAAATCTATATAGATAGCCAAGAACTTTGATTTTGTAAGTATTTTTTAATTACTCTGGTAAAGGAAATATACCACATGGGATATTGGCTCTTTCAAAATGATTTTTTCCTATGATATCTGAAACCAAATATAGAAAAATAACAAATACAGAGTCCTGAAATACCCTTGACTCTTAGAGTGGAGATTCTTTGATGTAGTCTCCGTGCTGAGGGGCAGTTGTCATCAAGGGAGACATAATTTGGGGTTTCTATCTTGCTAAATTTCTGAGTTTCTTTAAAAATGTTCACATTAGTGTTTAAAATATTTAAGATCAATGTAAACGTTATACACTACAAAATGTACTAATACAAAAACAAAAAAATGTTCACCAAAATATTAGAGTGTCGTAGCCGGGCATGGTGGTGCACGCCTGTAATCCCAGCACTCGGTAGCTGAGAGAGGAGGATCGCCAGCTTGACTGAGGCCAGTGTGGTCTACATAGTGAGTTTAAGCTCAGCCTGGACTACACAGTGAGAACTTGTTGCAAACAAACAAACTAAAGTGGCCCAGGTTTAAGATTCTCATCCTAATTTATTTTTTCTTATAACATTTCTTAAAATGGGATTGTATACACAAAGAGATGGTAGGGATCCCTTTCTTTAGGTTTCTACATAGCACCCGTGGAGGATTTTTCTAAATCAGAACTAACTTATAGATTTAGTAAACTTATAGATTAATCACTACAGGCCTATTGCCCTGGACAGCAGATGAATATCAAAATAATGCTGAGGCCAGGGATTGAGCTCAGTGGTTTCACCACCTGCCTCACAAAAGCAAGGACCTGAGTTTGATCCCCGGTACCAAAGCAAAACAAAACAACGAAAACAAAATAATGATAAAAACTATAATTCCAGAACAAATTTTTTTATGTCTCTTCGCCTCTGGCATATTTGTATATTTTTATGGTATTTATCTCAGCTCTACACCATAGCTTAAATTAAATTTTCCTCAGTCATTATCTATACTGACAATATTAGGTAAGTATTAAGTCATTGAATTGATACTTTTGCGGGGGTGACTTTGAGGAAAGAGTAATTTCCATAGCAGTTTGGGGAAGAGGGGAGCAGGAGAAGTACATGGGAATGTGACCAAGGAAATGAACATTAATAACACAGGGAAGATCAGTTTGAGTGGATTCTTTTCATTTGACTTTGTACTGCAGTTTAGGATAAAAATATTAAAGACCGATCTTGAATATTTAATAATCTTTCTCCTTTGTGTTCTCAAGATCTTTGTAGATACTTTAATTGCCTTTGGCTTGCTCAAAATTTACAATGATGGCAATTCCCCCTTTAAACCATCTTCGGCAAAGGTTATTTGAGGTAAACTAAGAATCAGGATTAAAATGAGGATCTGTAGCTGGAATTCTCTCAGGTATTGTGCTTTAGATGTGCAGAGACAAATTTTAATACCAACAGTCACTACAGAAAGGGTCTGTGGTGAAACAATCTGTCTTTGGATTGTTTCTCTAACATCATACAGACAGTATCCCAGAAACAATAGGATCAGATTAAGAAAACAAAGGAAAAAACAACAAAAGCAAAATGCGCCTCTCATTAAATAAAGAATAAGAAATAATTTCAGGCTGTCATATTTCAGTCTTCATTTTAAAAAGTACACTGCTGTATTAACTTATTAAAGCATCCTACCATGTTTTGACTTAAGTGGAAAACATTTCAGGAATGTTATACAGTAACAAAAAAACACATGACTGTATGGAGTCTGTATGTTTAATAGAAAGCCTGTGACCTCACTTACAACAAAGGCAGTCGTTCTGAAGGTACAGTCAGTCGCTGAATGTAAAACTTTTATGTAAAATATTTCACATGAGAGAACATCAGTGTGGGACTTCTTAGCTTTCTTTTACTAAGAAACTGGGGCTAAAAGAGCTCACCCAGCTTGCTCTGCTTCTCACTTCCCACTAGACTTGGGTCTCTGGCTCCTTCCCGACTCTGGGCGGGGGGTTCACCTGCTTATACAGCAGCGCGTCCCGTAGTCCAGAGTGGCTACCGACAGACTAGGCAGGACCCTCTTCGTACGTGCCCCACTGGACCATTATTAAAAGTCACAGGATACTCCATTTAAGAACTACTGATGACACCAAGCCAGTGGTGTAAAGATTTAGAATGTATGAGGTTCCACTGATTTCAGACCTCCTGAACGGGTTCTAACAGTGAGATTTATATACATTTTTTTCTCTGCTTGAGTACTGCCCCCATAACATCAAACACGCTTCGTCGTCCACAAGCAGAGACGCAGGTGCTTTCCTACCTTTCAGCACAAGCCCTTCCTGGGACTCAAGTGTGGTGAGAAATCACTGTGAGCTGCACACACAAGGTATTAACAGTTAAGACAAATATAAAATAAATGCCTCCTGTGAGTGAAATACAGCGATGAAATACAGAAAATATTTAAGTTTTAAGAAACTTATTACAGTAAAATACACATTGCTAAGAAGGATGGGGTGAGTGTGTTTGACGTGAGGAAGAGTACTTTGAGAGGAATTAATGACAATGTACACATTAGTGTAATACATTTTAAAAAGTTAAACAATCACTGTATTTTTGATCACTCTTCATTGATTAAACCTTTGTGGAAATTCCTGTCAAGTAAAAGTATCCTGGTGTGTCCTCATCCACCTTATTTACTATATCTGGAAATATGCAACTTTTGGCTCTTCCCCAAAGGCAAAATAAAATAACGAGGAAAGGTAAACACCTGGAATCAGTGCAGGACACTGAGGCAGCCAGGACGGAGTAATAAATGCATGAGAACATTCAGAACTACTTCAAATGACAGGGATAAGAGATAACTGTGTTCAAGGCCCGGAGGAGAACCTGAGGAGGATTAATGGCAATGTGTCTTTTACCATAATTTAGAAAATTAAACGTTCATTGTATTTTTTATCACACCTCATAAGTCTGTAAGGTGAAAGCTTTTTGTCCATTTGTTCTTGAGCTGCAAAGAGAAAAACAAATCAGATAAAAACAAGACACCTCAAACAAGTGAACTGTGTTCGTTACTTTTCTGGCTGTTAAGACAAAGTATCCAACGCCCAAAGTTAAAGGAGAAAAGGTTTATTCAGCTCGCAGTTTGTAGAGGTTTCCGTGGTTTCAGTCATAATTGACTGGCTCAAAGGCAGGGTGCCACTGCAGAGAAGCAGCGCATGGCAGGCAGAAGGAAAGAAAGCAATGTCCCTTCTATCTTATTCACACCACGCAGTGAGGGCAGCGCTCACACTCTTCATCCTAGTGCCCGCAATCCTAGCACTGCACCATGAACCAATCCCAGGAGCACACATTCTAGGTCCAACCACCTCTGAAAAAGCTCCACCTACGAACCTATGCCTGCACGCAGCTTTAGGGGGACATCTAAACACATACCATAACAGGAGCTAAGGAAACGCGTCCTCCCTTTACTGAAATGTATCTGCTGTCTCAGAATCTTTGGAGCACACTCCTACAGCAGGTCACTGTGGGTCTGCGTGTGATCGCCCGTGGACAGACAGCGTCTGTCCAATAGCTGGGCACCGTGAAGTTTAAGGAGGCACAGTGACTACTGAGGCAGCTATGAGAGTCAAAGGTTGGTCTGAAAATGGCCCAGACAACATCCAGTCATTGCTTTTCGTGAACGGTCCTTTCAGTTGTTGTAGAGACTTCAATCCACAACCCGTAAAGGAGAGGGAGGAAGAAGACAGCTGCTGTTCTATATGTCTAACCCTCCCAGGGACAGAAGGGAATTAAGTGATTTCATTTGCTGTCAGTATCATGGGGAGTGGGGAGAATCTCAGCCACGGGAGGCTCTGCCAGGGTGGTGAGGCCTAGGGTGTCAGGGAAACACAGCAGTACCTACCATCCTGAGCCTCAAAACATTAAGCTGCAGAAGGATGCCAGACAGACTGGTGGACTGTTCAGAGTTATGTGAGTTCATGGAAGCACCCAGGAGTGTTCTGCATTTGGCTGCTTTTCCGCTTGGGTGAGCAACTGCTGCCACTATTCTGGGTTAAGGCTGCTGTGGTTGAATGCAGAAAAGACTGTTGGGTCTCATTGGGAACCACTGGACGATTGGAAGAGGCTATTCCTATTGAGCTGAAAAGTAGGACTTACCAACAACTGACCTCTCTCTGTCTACAGTTTTAGTATTTTGTTCATCATGGAGGGTTTTTGTACTATTTTTGACCTTTTAAAAACTATTGCATGAAGAATTTTTTTTGGTTTTTTTTTTGAGACAGGGTCTCACTATATAGTTGAGACTGACCTGGAACTCACTATGTAGCCCAGGCTGGTCTCAAACTCACAGAGATCCTCCTGCCTCAGCCTCCTGAGTGCTGGGATTTCAGGAATGTGGCCCCACGCCTGGTGTGAAGATGTATTTATTTTTTTCTTTTTATTGAGTTTATTGGTACAGTCGAGGTCTACAATACAGTTACATTCATTACAGGGATCCTGTACCTTCACAGGACAGGTCTTGGTTCTCATTTTTTCCCCTTGTCCCTGCCCTCCCTTTACCCCCTCCTCCCCTCTCCATTTACAAACACTTTATTTCCATTTTTTCATTTTCTCATATATTTTTCTTTTCCCTTGTTCCCTTTCCCCTACCCTTCCCACTTTCCCTGCACCTTTAGCCCTTTTCTTCCTATTTCATGTTGTTAATTACCCCATTAGGATCTTGTGTGCTTTTATAGTTTTTCACACCAGAGAGACTATTCAGTGTTTACACATGTGTGACTTATTTATTTCACTTACGAGTATGTCCTCAATATGTATCCATTTTCCTATGAATGACTCTAATTTCTCATTCTTTATGGCTGAGTAGTATTCCATTTTATAGAAAAACCACATCTTCTTTATCCAGTTTCCAAAGGATGGGCAAATGGGCTGTTTCCAAGTTTTAGCTATTACAAACTGTGCTGCTATAAACATTGGTGCGCATATATCACTGTGGTATGTTTCTTTTAATTTTTGGAAAGATACCCAGCAGAGGGATGGCTGGGTCAAATGGAACCTCTAGTCTCAGCTCTTTGAGGTATCTCCATATTGATTTCCACAGTGGTTGCACCAGTCTGCACTCCCACCAACAATGGAGAAGGGTTCCTTTTTCCCCACAACCCCACCAACACTTGTTATTGTGTGATTTCTTGATAGCAGCCATTCTTTCTGGAGTGAGATGGAATCTCAGTGTTGTTTTCATCTGCATCTCTCAAATGACTAGTGATGTGGAACATTTTTTCATATATTTACTTGCTGCTTTTACTTCTTTGTCTGAGAGATGTATTTATTTTGATTATTTAGCTTTTGCGCTGCCTCATCTCCAAATTCAAAAATTAAAATTTGGGAGAACTGGGAAGTTTAAATTAGATTTAACCAAACCGATGTTTTGATTAGAGCAAAGCAAATAGAAACTCATGACATTTTATATCAACTCAAGAGTAGGCTTTTTCAAAAGAAAAAGAATTGCTGTCCTAGCACGGAAGGATGCTAAGTCAGGAAAACTGCAAGTTTAAGTACCACCTAGAGAATTTAGTGAACCCTTTTCTCAAAATAAAAAGTAAAAAGAGCTGGGACGTGGCTCAGTAGTAGTGTGCCAGGTGTGAAACACAATTGCTGATGATAGTAGATTCTCTTCACAAATACATCTTCATTTATTTTATAACATCTTGTGTTTGTATGGATTGCATCATTCGGGAGAGTCAAATGTACAGATCAGGTCCTCAAAGTATGAAAATCTGTGATGTTATGGGAGAGAACTCCCTTGTCAAACACTAAGGACAACAATGGGAGGTCTTAGATCTTATTTCAAATGACTAACACAGTCAGGGCAATACCGTGTCCAAAGTGATGAGGGTGCTTATTGCAGATTTTTGAATTTTTTTCATAATTCAAAAACTAGACATACCTAAATATGGACAAGGGCTGCAGTAGATGAACACTGATCTTTAAGTTCAGTAATTACTATTTAGTGATTATTAGTATTCCAAGGAGCATGAAGACTATGGTATGGGACAAGAAGGTGCTTTCTGAGTTGGTATCCACACTGCATCCTGAACACTATTTCCCCACTAAGAAGAGTGAACTTTATTAGGTAGGGAACTAAGACAGTAAGCAATTTAGAGGAAATAGAGAACTGCAGGTGCTTATTTTCCTAAAACTACAGAGCCATCTCATAATATTATTATTTACTTTCTGTTTGACAGAGAACAAAACTCACCAGGTTTAAAATCAGGAGTTCTCTTTTTAATCTAAACCAAAAGTGGCAGCTTTTTAATGCTGGAGAATCACAAACCTACTTAGAAATCACACTATAATTATCAGACTGTCTCTATTATTTCTACAATATGATTTAAGTTCTGTATTATATTTTATTAAGTTATATATATATTTTTTGTATTGATTTTAGATTCTAGAGGTGCTCCTTTTGCTTGTTTTGAAGAAGTAAATTCCAGAGGAGATAGTTATGGAAACTGTGGCCACAATTTTTGTCAACTTCAGTATGTATTTAAAAATTACAAGTTTGTTGGGAATGAAGGTTGTAGATTACTAAAATCCTAGAAATATCCTGTACAGTAAAATGTTGTATATCTTTTTCAGATTTTCTTTGTTATATGATCCGAGCTGAACAGTATTTCATGACCTACAGTAATATGTGTTCAGTGCCTATAATGCTAAAGCAACAATGGCCATACAAATGAGCTTCATTTATAGGTGTAAAGAGCTAGACATTATGTTTGGCAGTTTATGCATGGCAGATACAGATTAAAAAATAGATTTGCATACAATCAAATTTGTGTAGCAATATTAGTTATCCCATTTTATCTATGAAAAATTAAAGATCAGATTTCAGAAGCCAGTGTAGGCAGAAAAGAATAGAGCCTGACAGTTGTTAATTTTTCACTTGGTAAATTGCCTCATAAAACAAAAGGAGTGCTCTAAGTCATTGCTAAAAAAATGTAGTGACAGAAAATGATTGAGATCTGGATTTAAATTAGTGAAGTGTTCTATTCAATATAACTCTGCTCAGTTAAATACGAGTAAACTACATTTTCATTTAGGTGGAAATTAAAATAGCAAACAATTTAGAAGCGATAGAGAGGGGACATAGCTGCTTATGTTCTTAACAATGCAGAACCAGAGCTATTAACTTACGTTATCAGATATCTGTAATGGTAACGAATGATAATTTTCCCTTTCTAGACATGTTTTATGTGGAAAATTGGTTTGTACATGGCCACACAAAAGATTAGTGTCGCGTGAGAATTTATCTGTGGTTTACACACACGTTCGAAATGACATCTGCGTAGCTGGAGAGAAAACCGTCAGGAAGACAGTGAGGGCCTCTCTATCTACTTACTTGGAACACACTGACAGAGACGAGACGTTCGTAGAAGACGGGTCCATGTGTGGCCCTGACATGGTAACTACGTATTTCAAGCTTTTGTTAAAAATTGAGGTTATTTTCACTTTGATACTATACCAACCAATATATCTTTCTCAACATTATTATTCTGGTAAAATGCACGTAACAAAAATTCCCATCTTAACCATTCTGAAGTGTGTAATCAGTAGTATTAAGGACATTCATAATGTACAACTATCACCGTCATGCTTTCTCATTACTCGTTTGTTTTGTTTTGTTGAGACAGGGTCTCATGATGTAGTTGAGACTGATCTGAAACTATGTAGCCCAGGCTGGTCTCGAACTTACAGAGATCCTCCTGCCTCAGCCTTCTGAGTGCTGGGATTACAGGTGTGCAACACCACGCCTGGCCTCCTCATTACTCTTTTTATCTTGTAAAACTAAACACACCCCTTGAATAACAGCTCCCTAATTCCTCCTTTCACCAGTTGCGGAAACCACGCTACTGCATTCTGACTGTATGATTTCACTACTGTAGGAACAACACACCAGTGCACTGATAGAGTATTTGTGTTTTGATTTCTCTCCGTTAGCATGAGGTCCTCAAGGTTCATCTCCACTGTAGCATGTTGGAATTTCCATGTTAAGGCTAAATCATAGTCCATTGTACGTATATTCCAATTTTGTTTACCCACCAGGTTGCCTGTGGATATGTGGGTGATTATATACTTTAGCCAGGTCAAGTAACAACACTATGAATGTGGTAATACAAATAGCACAGATATGTTTTCAACACCTTGCTTTCAATTTTTTTTTTTTTTGTACCAGGGATTTAACTCGGGTCCTTGTGCTTGCAAGACAGGCAGCAGAACCGCTGAGCTAAATCCCCGGTCCGCCAATTATTTTTTTGTACACACTCAGAAGTTGAATTGCTGGGTCCTATGGTAGTTCTATTTTAAGTTTTTGAGGAACTTCCATCCTTTTTTTTTTTCTAGTGGCTGTGTCATTTTTCATTCATACTAACATTTCACCAAGGCTTACAATTTCTCCACATTTCCTCTAACGGTATTTTATGTTTGTGTGGGTTTTTTTCTTTTTTAACAGTACATATCCTGGTGGCTTGGAAGTGGTCTCATTGTAGTTTTGATTTACATTTCCCTAAAGATTACTGATGTGGAACATCTTTTAATGTGCTGATTGGAAATTTGTATCTTACTTGTTGTTTACTGTGCCTTCCCTGTCATAGCCAAGAAATCAATGGAAAATCCAATGTTGGGAAGATTTTACCCTGAATTTTCTTGAAGAGTTTATAGTTTCAATCCCTTATGCTTAGGTCTAACATTAATTCTGAGTTAAATTTTGTATGTGATATTAAAAGCCCAACTCCATTTTTTGAATAGAGCAGCATTTGCTGAGAAGAGTGTCCTTTATTCACTGGAAATCGACAATGTGAAATAGGATGAAAAGGGCTAAAGGTGTAGGGAAGTGGGAAGGGTAGGGGAAAGGAAATACGGGAAAAGAAAAAATAGGAAAATATGGAAATAAAGTTTTCAAAATTTCCTTTTGATTTATTATTTGCAGTATTCCTTTTTAAGAATGTGTTGTTTCATTTCTACAATTTTGTGCAATTTCCAGTTTTGTTATTTTGTAAATACTTGCTTATATTTTTGATTGATAAAATTTACATATATTTCTCATGTGCAACATGGTGTTTGGAAATACGTATACATTGGTTCTTGGCCTTTTGGCTAGGATCAAGTGTGGAAATATGTATATATTATGGAATGGCAAACATCAAGCTAGTTAACATATGAATTACCTCATATGCTCATCATTCTTTGTGGTGAGTTCTGTTAAGATCCTGTTAGCAATTTTTAGTAGAATGCACTGTTTTTAGCTGTAGTCATCATACTGTACAATAGATCTCTTGTATTCATTCCTGTTATCTAACTGAACTTTGCTATCTTGTGAGACAGCTCCCCAAACACTCTCAGACATTGGTAACTATTATTCTGCTCTCTGTTTCAACGAGCTTCACTTGTGAAGCTTTCACATACAAGTGAGCCCGATGTATTTGTCATGGCTGTGCACAGTGGTGCACACTTGTAATCACAGTTACTTAGCAGTGTGTGGCAGGAATGTTGCAAGTTTAAGGCCAGCCTATCTCAAAATTAAAATAATACTATTTTCTTTTTACACAAAGGACTTGGAATGTATAGCTCAGTAGTGGACTCCCCTCAGTGACCCTCCTGCCCATAATAATACAAACAGTATGTTCCTCTTCCTATGCTTGGTTTATTTCACTTAACCTCCCTTCAACTTTTTTTATTGTCATAAATGGCAGGCATTTCTTCTTTTTGTAGAGTTGTGTGCCATTGTATGTGCCACATTTTCTATAGCCATTCATCTATTTTTATGTTATGAAAAAGTTAACTTTCATAACCAAATAAGAGGATAACATAGTTGGTGCACGGAGTATTACTATCTTCCCAGGAGTTACTGGGTGGCCCACCTGTACCGGATGCCAACTACCCCGATTCCAGCAGGTTCCCTGCCTCTGTTTGTCTCCAGCATTCCAGCCCTCCTTCCCAACCACATCTGTCTGCTCTGCTCCCCTATATCCTCAGTGCATCAATTTCTTCAGTTGTCTTGGTGCCACCATCCTTCCTGCCTGGTTACGGGATGCTCTTGACAAAGAAATGAAAAGTCAATTAGCACCTCAAATATTTAACATTTCTTTGTGGTAAGAACACTAAAAATCCTCCATGAGCTATTCTGAAATACATGATACATTATTGTTAGTATTATTCCAATATAACTGTACATTTGTACCTTTGGCCAACATCCCACTTATGCCTTTCTCCTTCCCCCTTCCTAACCTCTGGCAATCACTATTCTACCCTTAATTTCTAAAAATTCATTTTTAAAAGATTATATAAGGTGAGATCATACTGTATTTGACTTTCTGGGAATGGTTTATTTCAACTTAACACAATGCCCTCTAGCTTCATCTCAAATGTATCCACCTTTATGGCAGAGTCGTACTACAGTGGGCATAAATACCACATTTTATAACCAAGAATCTGTTGATGGACATATAGGCTATTTGAAATATGCAGAAATTATAAGTTTTGTGATGATAAACATGGGTATGTGTGTGTATCACTGTAATTTGATTTAACTCTTCTGGGAAGATACTGTACCTAGAAATGGCACAGCCAGGTTGAATGGAATTTGAGGAAACTCTGCATTGATTTCCACAGTGTTTGTACTAGTTTGCATTCTCACCAACTATGTAGAAGGGTTTCTTTTGCCTCTGCAGCCGTGCCAGCATTTGGCATTTCTTGATGATAGCCATTCTTCTTTTTTTCCTTTTGCCTGGTACCAGGATCAAACTCCGGTCCTTGCACTTGCGTGGCAGGTGGCAGAACCACTGAGCTAAATCCCCGGCTCATTCTTTCTTGGACTAAGATGGAATTTCAGTGTTGTTTTAATCTGCAGTTCTTTAATGGCCAGAGATGTTGAACATTTTTTCATGTACTTATCAGATATTTGTATTTTTTCTAAGAAGTTTCTGTTCATTTCAGTTGTCTAGTTTTTGATTGGGTCTTTATTTTGGGGATCTAAGTTTTTGAGTTCTTTATGTATTTTAGATATTAGTTCTCTGAGAAGCTGTCAAAAATGTGTTTTAATCCTTAAGATTATGTCTTCATTCATTGGTTGTTTCCTTTGTTGTGCAGAAGACTTTTAATTTGATATAATCCAATTTCTTGAATCTTGATGATGCTTTTCATGCAATTTGGGTTTTGTTTAGATAGAAATTTTATTTAGATAGAAATTTATTTAGCAAGTCCTTACCTATACCTTATCTTCAAGAGTTTTACCTATCTCATCTTCCAGCAGATTGTTTCTGTTTTAATATTTAGGCCTTTCTGTTTTTGTTTTGCTTTTTTTTTTTCTTGAGACAGGCTTTTGATATGTAGTTTAGCCTGGCCTTGAACCCACTTAGCCCAGGACACCTTCAAAATTGAGGCAATCTTCCTGCCTCAGCCTCTCAAGAATATTTAGGCCTTTGATCCACTTTGATTTTATTTTAATACATGATGAGAGGTATAGGTCTCAATTCAGTCTTCTGCATGTGTGTAAAAGACTTTTCAGCATCATTTGTTAAAGAGTCTGACTTTCCCTCAGCATGTTTTTAGCCAGTTTGTCAAAGATCAGATAGTTGAACATGCTCTGAGTTGTTTCTCCATTCTCATTCTGCTCCATTGATCCACATTTCTATTTCGTGCAAGTACCATGCTATTTTTAATCACCATAGCTTTGTAATATAACTTGAAATCAGGGATTGTGATGCTGCCTCATTTGCTCCTGTAGCTCAGTATTGCTTTTTGTTCCATATAAATTGTAGCATTGTTTTTTCTAGTTCTGTGAAGAATGCTTCTTTTTCTCATTGAGTTTATTGGTACATTTTAGGTATACAATACAGTTACATTCATTATTGGGATTTTTTTTTTTTTTGGTACTGGGGATTGAACTTGGGTCCTTGCACTTGCAAGGCAGGCCACCGAACCGCTGAGCTAAATCCCCGGCAATTATTGGGATCTTGTACCTTTACATGCCAGGTCTTGGTTCTCCTTTTTTCCCCTTCCCACCTTCAGACACTTTAATTCCATTTTTACATTTTCTCATATTTTTTTCCTTTTCTCTTGTTCCCCTTTCCCTATCCTTCTCACTGTCTCTACACCTTTAGTCCTTTTCTTCCTATTTCATGTTGCTAATTGTGGGATCTTGTACCTTTACGTGACAGGTCTTGGTTATCATTTTTCCCCATACCCCATGTCCTTCCTCCACCCTTCCCTATTTATAAAAACTTTGTTTGCACTTTCTCATATTTTTTCTTTTCCCTTATTTCCTTTGTTTGATTTCTTGATAGCAGCCATTATTTCTGGGGTGAGGTGGAATCTCAGTGTTATTTTCATCTGGAACATTTTTTCATATATTTGCTTGATGCTTTTCTTTGTCTGAGAAATGTCTGTTCATTTCAGGTGCCCATT